TGGTTGACTATGAAATAAGTATTGGAAAATATATCTTATGGAAAAAAAAATTGTATTTTTAGGACTGATCTCTAGAAAGGAAGTTCTCCAAAAAGTAAGTTCTCTTTATTAGTTAAATTCAGATTTAATATCTAATCATGGTGTAACTTTAGATTGTTCACTTCGCATAAATAGATTACCGATGCTGTTGCTACAATTTGTGAAGAAAAACAAATAAAATTATATACATTATCTGCAAGCATCAGAGCTCCAGCTTCAATCACAAACTCATGTGATTCTTCATCTTTTACAACAGCAGCGGTTAATCCTGCAGCACTGCTTGCTTTTCCGCTAGTATATACTGCTCTAGGACTAAATTCTTCCACATGCCTGAAATAAGGTAAAAGAAAATGTTTCATCAATATAAATGTCAAACCCATACAATGTCAAATTTAGCCAATTCAAATTTAAAAAGGTTTATGACAATGATGCTAAACGGTATGATGCTTAAGTAGAACAGTCTACTTAAGCTGGGCCAAATACAAATGAAAGCCAATAGCTCCCTTGAAGTATTTGTCCATGAAACCATATAATGGCAGCATGGTGGCTTCATGGTCAGAACCTCTAGCTTGCTGCACTGGGGTTCCCGGTCAGAACACTACCTCCATTTCTCCATTGAGTTAGCATGTTCTCCCTGTGCTTGTGTGGGTTTTCTCTGGATATGCCCATCCCCTCCCACACTCTAAAGACATGCTGGTAGGTTAATTGGCTCCTGTCTAAATAAGCTCTATATGTATGCATGGGAGTTAGGGACCTTAGATTGTAAGCGAGGGCATTGAGGGCAGTGACTGATGTGTATGTGCAGTATGCAAAGCATTGTAAAAAAAATGTGGGCGCCATATAAAATTACAAATAATGAATAATACTATAAGAAAGGCAAAAGACTGAAGAGCTCCCTGAAAGTTTGTCCATGAATATAGGAGAATACTTGACTCTGTTGCTGACTAAACAATATCCATTATTGGGTAACTTATCCAGTAAGAACAATTCATAACAACTTAAAACAAGTCTAAAGGATACAGACAATGCAACAATCAAATCTACAGTGTGTTGTTATCAGTATTTAACTTTGTAACAGTGAAATATTCAAATATAAAATTAAATTGTACACAATTTAAAATTTCTGTGTCCCTCTTCTAGTTTGCAAAAGCCCTCATTAGATATATCTATTAGATTATGTATTTTTATTGCAAGAAGACTCCAAAGTGAGGTTAATGTAAAGGCAATCATTAAGTGTTCCTTCCCACTATTCCAAAAAGTCAATTTAAAAAAAATTAAAATACTGGGGTGCTTCATATAGTTTGCAACTCAATAGCATCAAACAATCAAGCGGTAGATAAACTTGATCTCCTATAAGTGTACCAAATATAATATGCAATCCTTATGGCATGTATCAGTAAGCGGTAGACCTTTAACCCTGCAAAACATTTTATTTCAGATTGATTCGGATCTTTATTCCTCTCCGTTTTCGGGATCAGAAATTGGATTTGGTTCATTATTCGAATTTTGTATCTACTCAAATTTTCATTTTGTAAAGATCCACAACAGGAAGTCACACGACTATCACATGACCATGCCTGTTATGCAACCCCCGACAAAAAAACCCCCATCTGACTGGCCAGAGAACAGTCACATGTCCGATTTAGTTTCGTTTTTAAACGAAATTCAGACTGATCCGAATGTGTTTTAATTCGGAAACTGGGATGCATGCGAATTTAACAAAATTCCTACAAATATCCATTCAGAAATAAGTGAAATTTACATGTCTTAACCAATAAGTAGGCTAGGTGTTCACATTGTGAAATGCGTGCATCTTTTGTAGAGTGTGTGTATAGATAGAGGCAAGGAGGCAGTAAAATTAGACCAAAAAAGAGATACAGCAGACCTCTGAGCTGGGGAGAAGTTAGATTGTGTCCTTAAGTGTACACTCCTCTGCAGACATAAAATAAGGAGTTTCATAAAATATAGTTATCCACTTAGCTGCTTAGTAGCCCATTCAAAGTGCCATAAAGTCTGCAAGCAGTTCAGTCAGACAATCATGCATCATGTAGAGACAAGTATATATCTTTTAAACTTACAAAAGTGTTATGAATTTGAGCCCTCAAAGTAGAATATAATGTCGCAATAAATAGTTCACATTCTCTGGCTATACCACATTATGAATGAGCGGCACCAATTGCACATCCGGACACAGTGGTCTTGCATGTAATAGAAATGCAAATTATTCTCACCCATCATACAAATTGGACATAGCCATTGGTGCAGTGTCCCTGAGGACAAATCAGGAGATTCATATGGATTCCACCTTGAATAGGACATCTGGCTTGCAAATCCATAGTGGTGTAGCAAAGCAACAAGACAGACCCAAGGAACAGCACCACATGCATACTAAACATTTCACTTTAGCTTCCTCAGAGACATGCGATTCCATACATGAAATCGCATCAATTCCTTTTATTAACAAGTTTACATCTTACTTGAGAAACTGGCTTTTTGATGTACTTGGATCTCCAACAATGCATACATTAATGTCTCCTCTCAGAGAAGTGCCTTCCATTGTAGTTTTTGGCACACCCCCAAACAGCATTAAAAGGACCCCTCTTTTAATTTCATCACTGCCTACAAGAAAATAAAAAAACTGATTACAAAGAAGTTACAGAAAACTGCTCAAATTATGAAAGAATGACTGGTCATTTATGGATATTTATTTTCATCTTTCAAATTTGCCTAATTGCCCAGTTTTTAGTTTATTACCATTTTTAGCATTCAAACTCAATATAAAATTATCCTTTTAATGGACCCAAAAGGCCTAAGGACTAATATTGGTCAGCAACTGACTGATTGCTTGCCATCTCTTCAACAGCTAACCACCTTACCTTTTTCTGCCCGATTTAATTGAGGTAGTTTTGTTTTTTAGTTTGAGGTTGGTTTGAGGGCAACAGTAAAAACAGTGTGCATCAAAACCACTTTACATCTTTGCACCCCCCTATCCCTATAGTAAGCAATAATTTTATGGATATACCTGTAAGTCCCCAAAACTGCTAGCAGGCCTAAAGGCAGGGGTAGCAGTGAAAATTAGGCCAGGAATCCCTGTCATGTAGACAATGCATTGTCTGTCCCTAAAACTAGGTTAAAATAGGTAAGAAAGTTTATAGAAACAAACCTTCCACCTTTTGGTTGTGAACAAGGCTCCCCGTTTAGGAATTCAATTGCTATATACATTCCAGTACAACTGAGCTTTAAAAATAAGGGTTTTCAGTTCATTGGACTGAAGATTCCAATAGAATGTGATTCATTAAAAAAAAAACGCATTTAAAGTGAATTTTTATCTTTTCCCTTTTTGTTTGTCTTGAGTCTAAATAGAACCTTAATAAACATCAAAAGAGTATACAGTATTAAATTTTTTTGTTATTTTACTGTTTATGTTACAGTAAAATACACACAAAAATCCTCACTTTAAGTTACTATTTTTTACACCTATTGTCAAAAATAAAACGACACCCAAAAAACAAACAAAGTCAGTTGGGGCTTTGGTTCCCATTACATTTGTGTGATAAGAGTTTACCTAAAAGCTCTCCAAAGTGCCAACAGTGACCATCGAAATTCACTCCCTTTACATTTTATTGCAATTGCATGTTGAATGCTGCATTTTTTTATTTGCACAATTCAGGTCTAACTGGATTTCAGAAAGTCTAACTACTAAAGAGCATAGTTCTAATTTTTTTTAATAACAAATAGGTGATGGGGCTGTGAAGAATGTGGAATGTGTAGTGTTTTAACGCACACTTTTTTGTTGTTGTAGTGGGTACTGCAAAATGAAGGCAGTAGTTCATTTACAAGCCCTCCAACTGTTTATTGTGTTGGTTTGTAAACAAAGGTAATGTTGAATCCGTGAAAACAGTTTTTAAAGACATGAAACACAGTTCAATAGATTTTGTAGATCTACAGAACGGTTATTGAGTCGCATATGGAATAATGGATACCAAACAGAACACAACACTCAATCTTTATACAAACCAAATACTTCAGCTGTCTAAAATATTAGATTTGGAATTACACATTAGATGGAACTTATACAAGCAAATGTTAAAAAATACAATTAAATATTAAAAAAATGATTGCAGGACATTTCACATACCGTGTATTGTGGGAAAGAGACTTGTACATAAATTGTGGTACAAATTTTTGTCTTGGCTCATTTCAAATACCTTTTCCCACTCTTGGACAGTCATTTGATTTTTTATACTTTCTGCAGTCTGATCTTCCTCCCTCAAGTCTCTGCCACCAAACTGTAAAAATTGCAAATTAAATGAAATAAAGGCAAGATGTTCTCACTTCCTGGTTAGTAAAAGGTTAGATTTAGTCAAACAGGCACTTACCCTTGGATTAGTAGCACCCACGTAACATGCTAAAAAAGCCAATCTATAAGACAGATCTCTAACACCCAATGCTTTCAGACCTTGGACACCTTCATTATTAAATCCTTGCCCACCTGTTACTTTTGCACCAGTCTCTAGTCGCGCATCTGAAAGATTAACATGACACATTTACAACCTTCCTGTCTTGGGCAAAAATTGCCTATTCATTACACAGAAAAAAAAAAACCAACAGCATTTTTTAGGCAAGTGATTGAGCCTAATGAACATGGTCTTCAGAGGCAGACCTGCTCAGCGCACTGAAGATGCAAACAGTACACAAGGACAGAGTGGATTTGAGGTCTGTGTTCATGCACACATACATATACACACACATTTCTGGGATTTCTGATTCTGCTATAGACCACTCCTTTGAGAGATTTGTAGATAAGTGAAAAGCATAGTCCCTTTTGCAACGTCTATCAGTTCTGAGACTCAGGAAGAGACTATGGCAATTTCAGCCATAAATGTAATTATTTATTGCTGCAGAGCTGCATGGCAGACTCTGGTATCTAGTTTAAGACACATGGAGAGGGAAAAAAATGGATATGAAAGAATTAAATATGCAGATGTTTTTTCTGCATGCATTGAAAAATATTAAATATACCTTTTGCAGAAAATCTATTTTATTAAATCACAACATATAACTAAAACATCCATTGGTCAATGCTTCTCCCATAGCCACTGGCTATTCATGTTTTTTTCCTCACAATATATTCAATCTGTACACAGTGCAATTACCCAAAATATTATCCAGACAGAAGTTCCTGTTATCTTCAACAAAACATTCACAGTGGCTTAATTCAAAGTGTTTTGCAGTCTGCTTCTTCAGTATAGGAGGCATTCTATGTTCTCCAAAAAAACAAACATATTTCCAAGACATAATGTCTTAACTTTACTTGCATAGAATAAATAGGGATACAATACCATAGTATGTGCTGTATCTTGTCAATTCAAATAAAAGCATAACTATGATGCCATGTTAATTGGAGATGCTATTAAAGTGTGGATTGAACTGGCTGAGGTCATGTCCTGATTTGGTAGTCACTCAGAAATTTGTTTCCTCATTCTGCGACATGTAAGGGCACATTCTGTGATTTCTTGTCCTGGTTTTGCCAACAGGATGTGGAGACACAGTATTTGCTGGCTGTGTACTTCACTTTCCTTCCCCTTTTGTGTGGGATCCCATCCCTTTAATGGGTGTAGAGCTTGAAAAAGAGGTATCGCTCCTCGAAACGCGTCGCTCATCTCACTGCCCCTCCACCCCGCTACTACCCTCTTCCCACCACAGATCCGACTGACAGCTGACCACTTTCAGCCCATGGCTCCTGCACACTGCTTCAGTCGGTGCCGTCACGATCCACAGCCGCGGCCACAGCAGTTCTGCCTGCTTCTGACACCGCTGATTTTCTCCAGCACTACTCGGCCCCTGGACTGGAGCGGGCCACGCACTGAGTCCCCATTCTTGTGGCTTCTTGCTTCTCCCCCCCCCTCACCTTCGCCCACAGCCTCCTCTCCCCGTGTGGATGCACATCCTCCGGCACACCAGTTCCAGATCGACACCACGGATGACCCGATCCTCCACACCGGCCGTTCAGCCTCTGGTCCCATGAATTAAAATGTAAGTGCTCATTCTTGTGCCTTTTGCACCCATTGTCACAAAATTCTCCCTGTCACCTTCCCTGGGTCTTCCGACCTGGTCAGTTAGCCCAGCCAGCGTTGCGCCCTTTTTGTTTTTTTGTTTCCCCTTTTGTGTGGGATCCCATCCCTTTAATGGGTGTAGAAGTGGATGGGGAGGGTGGGAGGAATGTGCATCATTGTGGTTCCACCTGCTGGTTGGAGAATGGTCCCTGCTGCTAGATGGGTGGGCCAAGTCTGAGTGAGCTGGCAAAACCCATGCATGGTAAATATGCCCATAATGCCGGTGGAATCACATGTTGTAGTCCAATGGTCTAACGTATAAGCTCTGGGACAGAGCCAACTACACTTATGGGACCTGGCCACGGATTCTTCTTTTTATATGGTGGATACTTATGAACATTAGAATACTTCTATCGTTAAATCCATACCCTGTTCTATACAAGTGAACAAATCATGATATCGTGTAACATTGATCATTGTAAATATGTACATACCTCCTGTCCTGAAGAAGCTGACTGAAAAACGGTAAAATGAGCCACTGAATGATCTTTTGACAACAGAACATCTGTCTGGATTGTTTTGACATTTTAACTGCGTACATATTTAATATACTGTAAGAAAAATAATGAATAGACTGACTATGGGAGGTACCCATTTATATGGGGAGATGCAATGACCAATTGATTTTAGCTGTAGGTTGTGATTTATTCAACTAGGGGTTTTTAGGCACCAACATATCAAATCTGTTAAAACATCTTCAGCTTCTACAAAATATGTGTTTAATACTTCTTAAAGTGACATTAAAAAGGCAAACTTTTTTTCCCTCCCCCCAATGTTAACGTTGGCACTTTCCTTAAATGATGTCTCTTTTTCCGATCTTCCTCTTCTTTCCTGATGTTTTCAGCCTTCTCTCCAGCGGTGCGGCGGCTCTCCGATCCAGCGCTGACTGCTCTGTCCCTCCGATCCAGCGGTGTCTGCATGCATGTGCACGCGTCCATAGACTTACCTTTCGTCCCTCATCGCGTCCCTGCTGAAAATGAGAACTACGCATGCGCGCGCCCTAAGATCCTTTGCGGCTGCTCGGGACCGCGCACGGAACACAGGGTAAGTTTAAAGTGCCGTTTGAGCGTTTAAAAAAATAAACACTTTTTGCATATATCTACTGCTTGCTAGCAGTAGATAAAAAAACAGGAGGGTTTAAATATCCTTAAGGGTGTGGTGCCTCAGATCACTCACCAACACAACCTTATTGGATATGCATTTAAAAGTTAGAGGCATCCTTTACCTTACATGTAGATGTAGTGTACTTATACTCCATACCCTGAAAAACAGGTGACCAAAACGGAATAGTACACCCAAAAGCTGAGCCATTGTTTTATACAGTGAAAAATTATTTAATATTGTGCATAAATCCCTCCTATTGCAGGACATTGTGCTTGCTTTGCCAGCTGTAGCTGGGCATTGCATGCTGTTGCTGAGCCTGTGGTCTACAGGGATCCCCATATTCATGTTACATTCATGATGCTCTGCTTCAATCTGAAGTATTTTGGGGAAAATGACCGTGTTGTAAAAAGTTTGTCTACATAGCTCAATAGTTAAAATTGAAACTTACACACAAGTGAATGTGTTGGAGCAGTAGATTATCCCCCTCCTTCTGTACACCTTCTCTGTAAGGTTTTACAGAGATGGCATGTCTGAAATATAACTGTTCTCTAGAAAATACATTGCAGTCTAGGAATGTAAATATATGCAGTTATGTTTACAGCATTCAAAAAGAATGGTGTAACTTTTAATGTGCTGAATGTTAAGGTAACCAATTTGCATTTTTTAAATGTATTGACACACAGAAATTCATTCATTACCTCCAACTGACAGAGCAGCTACATCAGGCACAACAATCAATGTACCAGTGAAATCACAACGATCCCCTGCCATAGCAGTTTCAACAGCTTCTGCACGAAGAATAACTTCTACATTGCGTGGAATTGCACCACGAGGCAATTCTGCCTGAGTTTCCTGAATTCTTACCTAAAACGCGTGGAAGAAATAATTTTGAATGAGTGCGTTACAGGGGACAATGAAAAGAAAAGGTGTATAAAATTGTGCATAAAGCAATATACTGTATTTATCTTGACTTTACCATCTTGTTTTAATAGATTTTTGGCTAGGAACATGTATGCAGAATTGGAGTTCGAATTTCATTACACCTCTTTCAAGTCATTGATTTACTAGGTAAAGTGCATCCATAGCCAAAACTAATTTTTATACGTTTTGGATAGAGTGGGGAAGGGTTAAAACCCGTCAGGTTTTAGCGCTACCCAGGGCTCAAGATCTTTTTTTATTTTTGCTGTTGGGGACAGCTATTAACCAGACAGGAAGCAAGAGAAAATCTGCAACAGGGAAACAAACAAGTATTTACTTCAGTCTATGTTGGATTTTGAGAGTTTACCTCACTTTGTGAGCGGTCACCACCACGGGACTGATGATCAGGTGAGTATCTTTATTTTAGACCCAAACCAAAACAAGCAGTTAACCCTTGCAGTGTGGGGTTAATTTCTTTATTTTAATTAAAACGATTTTACATGACCAGGAGTTTTTTAAATTAGCATTAATAATTAGCAGGCAGGGAAGTGCATTGAAGTGACCATGTTATGTTGCTCATTTGTATTTTAACTGAACTTGTGAACTGTGCAAGGGGCTAAATAGAATTGCAAAGGTTTTGGAATGCAAAGCAATACATGTATTTATTTAAAACATGTATTTAGAGGGCAAGCCATAATTCACCCTTTTGACAAATGTGTGCAAAGACCCTTACTGTAAAACTGCCAGCTGTCTGAACAGCCCTCAGGACTTACCCCAAAAAGTACCTGCAAACCTGCTCTGGACTCTTAAAAAAAAAAATGTTGCTGGCAAACCTCTATAATTCATCAGAGACAGAAGCTTACACCACATTTTTCAGTCATTTGTTCCCTTATTACAACTTTAGAATTAGTCATGTGATCATAGGGGGCAGACCTTCCTAATCAATAGAAAGGAATTAGTAAGATTGCCGTTAAGAATTCAGGCAACTAATTTGGCTTGCAAAAGCCTTTGTGGTAAATAAAATAGCTTTTTCTTAGTCATGAAAATTAAGAATTTCAGTTTTACCACCTGCAAGCAGTATAACAAAAAACAAAACAAAAAAAAAGGCACTATAGTGCTTTTCAACCCAATCTATTGTAGGAACAAAATGCCACTTCACTGTGTATAAATTATTTGCTACATAAATATTTTAACCAATGAAAATTTGTTAAATGATCAGAATAAAAACTTGTATATTATAAAAAAAACAAAAAACATTTATGTTCATAAATATTTATGCATACAATGTATATATTTGGAATATATCTATATATATATATACACACACATATACATACACACAGGGAAAAGCTGTTCGTTCTAAATGTCTGATTAAATGTCTATCAAGAGGGTTTGGGCAGCACATTGAGAAATTTGAGTGGAAAAACCCTCTGGCTTGACCATACCCTTGCCCAGCCTTCAGATCCACTTTAACTTGTGTTCTGCTGTTTGACCAGACTAAAGTGTATCTAAAGGTAGATAGTCAAGCGTGTGTGCACACATATGCATGCTGTATATTGTTTTTGGGAAGTGCTTAAACCCAAACCCAGTTTTCATTGCTATTGCCAATACTGGAAGCCTCTGTCCTTGGGATAAACAGTATGTCACTAAAACCTGACTAGACTTGTGTTGCTAGAACAAGCCTCTCTCTTGGAAGATCTTCACTCTAAGACAGTGGTTCTCAACCGGTGTAACCTCAGGACCCACATTTGTCCTTGGTTATTAAGTCGCGACCCAATTTGCACTGCAATGGAATGCACAACATTGCGGTACTGCACGTTTCGGGTCAATCAAACTGTGGGTGGGAGGTGCGTTTGGGGTACCATTCAAAAGATTCACCCAGTCTCCATACCTTACAAGAACTGGAGTGGATCCTCAGCCTGTGGTACAGTGTGGGCTGCTGTGCTGTGAAAGAGCTCCATCCATATGTACAATGCTTGTCCAGCTCCCTTTGCATGCCCTGTAGGAGGTAACTGGAGCCAGAATGCGACATTACTCTGGTCCAGGCAACTCTAAAGGACACGTGATGGAGCTGTACGCATGAATGCAGCTCCCTCACAGCCATAGCCCCAGCCCATCCCGCCTTAAACTGACACTCGGTGACTGGCAGCATATTTTAAATGGCTGTTTGGCGCACAAGAACTGACAGTGCTACAAAAGGAGGAGGCTGAGAAAAAGTGGAAGGCATGTGGTGATCCACTGAACATGGGGTCGCGACCCATTTTTGGGTCACGACCCACAAGTTGAGAACCAAGGCTCTAAGAAAATATTTACTTACATTAAAAGATAACTCCCCAAAGGAACACATAACAAAAGTGGTCATTTACTACAGTATCGGGAAAAAAAGTTTGGACTTTAGATATACTTTAGGTTTATGTAAGAGCAATGTATGAAGTGATAAACCGTTTAGCTCTTGTAAATAGGTTTAACAGGCAGATTTGTTAACATTGTCATGCTGTTGCTAGATGTGTAAAGGTGCCCATGCACCTTACAATTATCTGTAGATTGTCCGCAATCAAGTTTTTTGTCCGAAAATATATTTTTTTTCCACGCAGGCTAGAAATTTTTTGTCTAATTGGACAAAAATTGACAGGATAGTGGCATTGCTGTACAACAAAAATCTCAAGATGAGAACTGCACATGCTCAAATGAAAACCTGTGAAAATCAGCCTGTTGGTGCTGACTAACGTTAATTGCGCTGGTCTGTGCATGATGGGCTAGTTGAACGAAAATTGAATGAGGGCGAGATGTCTGGACAAAAAAAAAAAAAAATTACAATGGTTGTAAGGTTTATGGGAACCTTTAGGCAATGTTAAAAAGGTAGAAATGCAGTAAAGCTGATAAGATAAAAGCATGGTTTCTAAAAGTTAGAAAAAAGTTTTTCAAAGTGTTAAATATTAGTTTCTCTATTAGTTGTGTAATGAGCACCATAACGAGCTATATGTACAATCTGAATGAACAACAATCTGAATTATTAAGCCTTGCAGTAAGGCTACTCCCGCAATGCAAGGGTTAACTGCTCATTTTCATCTAGGGCCTAAAATAATAATAAAAAGTTATACTCGCCAAAACCTCCGAGCTAGCCAGCTGTCACAGCGCTTCCACCAGTCTCTCCTCCGGCACTGCAGCAATTGTCTGTCACTCGGTGTACTTGCATCCTTTATACGGTGTAGAGAACAATATGATTCAGGGACTTTAGATCGCTGCAGCAGAGGGGGAGAGAGGCTGGAAGGACAGAGTCTAAAAGCAAGCAAGGGCAGAGGATTGGGTGAGTAACTAGCAGTTAACCCTTGCAGTGTGGGGGTAGCTACACTGTAAGGGTTAATACATTTTTTCCCCTAAAGTTCTTTAAAATGTTTTATACATTGGTTAAAGGTTTTTAATTATTCTTGAACTGTCAAAGTTTTCAAGTTGAGAGTGTAGTGCTCGCCCCCAAAGGAGCCACCAGAATAACCCAGGTAATCACTAGTTGTCTAGGGGATTTGGTCTCCAGCTGCCCCATTAGCATTTAACCACCCTCATCTAGTGCCCACAAAGTAGATATCCACTCCAGAAGTATAATGCTGAATAACGTATTAACTACTTGAAGACCGGGGGTGTTAAACATTCTTCCTGGCCAGGCTATTTTTCAGTATTCATTGCAGTACTTTAAAATGTATTCAGTTGTGGAACACTGTACGGAAATTAATTTTATATAGTTTTTTGGGGACACAGAGCTTTCTTTTGGTGGTATTTGATCACCACTGGTGGTTATTTTTTTTACTACTTAACGAAAAAAACGACCGAAAATTTTCTGTAAAAAAAACAAACAAAAAACAGTTTTCACTAGGTTATGTCATTAAACATTTTTTTGGTAAAATATAAAAGATGGGGGTCACGCCGGGTAGACACCAAACATGTCAAGCCTTAAAATTTCAAAAAACTACCCTATTTAAAATTGGCCATTGCCATAGTGATTGATGGCCCTAGAAATATTGCTCACGCTCCGATGTTCGCGATGATCTGCAATATGTGCGGCACAATCATCAATTTGTTGGCATGTTGTCCAGACACATGTTGGTGTGTGTATGTGGGAGCGGGGGGCCTTTTTTGTGTTTAAAAAAACGTTTTTATGCTTTTCATTTTTCCCCCCACTTTTTCCCCACTTAATTGTATTGCCATCACATAGGGGGTTAGGAAGCCCCCTATGCAATAGCCATTTTACATGACGGGTCCCCTAGGGACCCCCAGAGAATCTGAGCAGAGCTTTGACAGCTGAACGCAGAAGTGATGTAATATACATCACTTCCTGTGTTCGGAGACCGGCGGGAAGATCAAAGGGAGATTGTGTACCGATCACCCTCTGATCTACGCTCACAGAGCTGCTGTGCCGGTCACGGTCTGCACCAGGCACAGCAGAGCTCATGAACGGTGGTAGAGGACTGACATGCAAAATACAAGCGATTGGGCATCTCTACATATGCCGGAATGCTTGTATGTAAAAAGCCATCGCTTTTTAAGCAGGTTTTTCCTCTCGGGCGTGCTCTGGGCCCAGGAGTACAGGAAATTTTAACGGTTAGACCTAAAAAAAAACTTAAAATGCAGAGAGGCATTTCATAGATTTCAGTTTTATTTTACTGGACAGTATTCATATTAACATTCAGCAGATTTCAGCATCTACACTTGCCAGAAAGACAATGAGGGGAATCTATCAAAACTGGAGTAGACAGAATCTGGAGCAGTTTCCCATTGCAACCAATCAACATCTACCATTCATTTTCAAAGCTTAACTGAAGAGAGAAGCTGGGCAACTGCTCCAGTTTCTGTCTGCTCCAGTTTTCATAAATTCCCTCCAATGACAGTTACTATGAGTTTTTGCACACCATTACTCAAACTGGGTTTGCCAACTTCAATTTTAAATCGATCAG